CACTGTCCCGGGAGGATTCCACCCCTCGCTTAGCTACTGCAGCAACGTCCCTCCGCTGAGCCAACTTCTAAAAGGTCCGATTTTGTGCTCCGCGGCTCTATCACTTGCCAGAAGCGGCCGGCGGAGGCCCCTCCCCCGCCGTCTATCCTCCCGAATATCGCCTCGGATTCACTTCTCTGCACGCCCTACCTTCCAGTAAGTGGTCGCTTCTCTGTTCAGAGAGTTGTTGCTACTCTCCTGTTCGATCTCCTGTTGAGTTCGTAGGTGTTCAGAATGGTTTGATCCCTATTCAGCTGAATTCCTGAGACCAGACGAAATCTAGGTCTCCTACTCCTCCACCATCTTGCTCCGCCCCTTATTTAAATTCTTTTATTTAATATTTAAATTTGTTGAGATTTTTGTTTGTTTTGTTGTTGTTGTTGTTGTTGTTTGACCCAGGCTATGGTATACTGCAATGAATGTTTTTGGCGTTTTGTTGTTGTTTTTTAAGATTTATTTATTTATTAGAGAGAGAGTGCGCTTGCAAGTTGGGGGGAGGGGCAGAGGGAGAGACTCTTTCAAGCAGACTCCACACTGAGCATGTAGCCTAACACAGGGCTCAGTCCCACAGCCTATGAGATCGTGACCTGAGCTGAAGCCAAGAATCAGATGCTTAGCCAACTGACCCACCCAGGGGCCCCTGCAATGAAGGTGTCATGGGTGCTTGAAAAGTATTTGTATTTTCCTTTCTTAGGCAGAGTGTTCTATAGGTGTCATTTACATCTTATTGGTTGATGGCATTATTCAGTTCTTTTATATCTTTGTTGATTTTTTTGATCTAATACTTCTACCACTTGTACCAGAGTGAGGCATTGAAATCCCCAGCTATATGTGTGGTTTTATCTCTCTCCTTTTAGCTTTATCAGTTTTTGTGTTATGTATTTTGAAGCTCTCTTGTTTAGTGCATCCACATTTAGGGATCACCATGTTTTTTTCTTGGTGAATTGGTCATTTTATTATTATGTAATACTCCTCTTTGTCTCTAATAATTTTTTTTTTTGCTCTGAAGTCTGTCCAATATTAATATAAGTCACTTTTTAAAAAAAAATGTTTGCATGATACAACTCTTTGTTTCATTTTGCGTGAAGTAGGTTTCTTGTAGGCAGCATATAGTTGGGTCCAGTCTATGACTCTCTGTCTTTGGACTGGTGGATTTAGACCATTTATAAAACCTAAAATAATTATTGACATCTTAGGGTTTACGGACCCAGACTATTTTTTACTCATAGAATTCATTATATATCCTTATTCATTCAGCAATAACCAGAAAACACAAGTCAGATTCCTTCCTTCCTTCCTTCATTCCTTCCTGTCTTCCTTCCATCCATCCTTCAGAGCTTCTCACAGCATGACAACTGGGTCCTGAGAGAAGCATTTCCAAAATGTGAATAAGCATTTCAGGAGGCCCATGTGGAAACTGTAAGGCTTCTGAAGACTTAGCCTCGGGTCTTAATTTCTAGAAAGCCACTTCTGCCACATTCTATTGGTCACAGGCCCAACCCAAATGTAGTATGGGAGGCGACTACACAAGAGCAGGATCACTGGAGGCCTTCTTAGAGTCTGGCTACCACTATCACTCATTCATATGCTAGAGTTGAAATCTGAGTCATGGGTATAATTCAGACCGTATCAACTAGCTAGTCACTCTGAGACTCAACTTTCTCATTTGTAAATTGAGGAGCCTGCAGTAGATGACCACTTAGGTCCCTTCTGACTCTATGATTCTTCATTTGTTTCTCAGAGTGTCTTTATATCTTTTTTCCCCTGCCTTACTGAGGTATAGTTGACAGTCTAAAATTGTGTATATTTAAATTATGCAACTTGATGATTTGATAAATGTATTCTTTGTGAAATATTGACCATAACCAAGCTACTTAACATATCCATCACCTTATATACTTAACCATTTTCTCTCTCTTCAGATGGATTTCTTAACATGTGTATTAGCATATTACTATTTTACCTCTGTGTAAAAGGTGACTTAAGCATTGTTACAATAATCTCTGAACTACTCTAAAGCTCAGTTTGGCAAACTAATGCAGTTACCATTGGTTCCAGAGGCAGCCAATATCCAATATTAGAGTGCCTATAGATTATTTTAGCTATAGTCAATGGATCATTAAAGAAGCTAGAAATCTTATCTCAATTGAGCAGTAGCAAAGCAACTTAACATTGGCCAGATTATTTCACAGAACTCTTCTTTCTGAATAAAATGAAAATCTGCCAATTACGGCTTTTCCCTTCCAACTTATATACATTTGATTATAGAGGTAATCGATCAGATTTTATTTTGTAATTTATCTATTGTTATAATTTGAGCCTTGCTAAGCCTCCCCAAGCTTCCATTTTACCTGAATAACTTTCCCCCCAAAAAATCATAACTTGCTTTAAAAATAGTAAGACGTGAGTAGGACCACATCCTGTTCATTGTACCTTCCAATCTGTGCCAAGGTCCTGACTTAAACTCAGTCTTGTCATAATCAGCATTAGAATAAACTGAGAGTTTATTCAGATATTTTAGACAGAGTCCCCATTCATTTGAGTGACTCCTTCCCAAGGGGAACACTTTGAAAGATAATACTCATTACTTTAGTTCAGGTATTTTTGAGGGGTTTCTTTACTGTATAATCACACGTTATATATGGTCTTTTAAAATTATTCCTGACAGTTGTAATTCATTGTTACGAGGTAAAGTATATGTGGTTTATGGATTCCACATCAATGTACTGTATGCCTTTGGCTCCCAGTGGCATAGTCTTCTTGAAGCTGTCCCAAATGTTTATTTTCATGTTTATGCTCCTATACTGGAATGGGGGGCAGAAACCTTCTTTTATTCATCTTTGCATCCCCTGTACCTGGCATCCTCTAGATACCTAGTAAGCTTATTGAATGAATTGGGGCTGGTATATGGGTGAGACTGATCTTTGGCCCTAGTTACATCATAGTCCTGTATTGATAGATTGCATGAGGATTCTTGCTCTATGATAATGGATAGAATAATAATGAATGGAAGTTATTTTGGGCAGCATTGCTTAAAATTCATTTCATTGACAATACTAAAGATTTCTTTTTTTTCTTTTTTTTAAAGATTTTATTTATTTATTTGACAGAGACAGAGATAGCAAGAGCAGGAACACAAGCAGTGGGAGAGGGAGAAGCGGGCTTACCCCCGAGGAGGGAGCCCGATGTGGGGCTCGATCCCAGGACCCTGGGATCATGACCTGAGCTGAAGGCAGACGCTTAACGACTAAGCCACCCAGGCGCCCAGTACTAAAGCTTTCAAAAAACTTTTTACAAGTATACATTTTGACTTACCATGCTTTTGATCTTACTCTTTATATTCATTTCACCTTGTTTAATTCCTATAAGCTATTCTCAAGGAAGGTCCATAAGGAAGAAATATGAATCCTGTATCCAGTGAAATGTGCCTCTCACTGAAATTTCACATGTATTCATACTAACCAGATACATAAAAATAAAACATAAAAACAGTGATTGAATATCTAGGTATAGTATGATTAGCAGTGAAGTAAAGTCATGATCCTGTGTCTAAAGTTTTCATCCAGTGTGTTGTTAGTAATAGAAGTTCAACAATATAGGTTTTCACCTGAGAAAATAGATGTGGATAGAAAGCATCCTGTGTATTATGAGTCTGATTTTTTTTTACACTGTGAGTTATTACAAAACTGTTAGGGAAAGGAAGAACATACTGGGACTTACTAAAGTTTCTATTAAAATATAATATGATTACCATTAAGTTATGTCTTTCCTTTATTTTATGTGAGCTAAGGTAATAAAGCTTATTAGTAAAATTTCGGAATTTATACCCACTTAACCAAAGGTATTTGACCAAACACTATTTTTTGGAGATAAATGTTTAAATGATCTTTGTGTCTCTGAGAATAGTTTAAGGAGATAAAGCTTCCTACCACCTTAGGAAAAAGACTGATTTGAGGGACAACATCTGACACTAATTTATTTACCCTCCTACTGATTGGTTTCTCAGTGATTGATTTGATTTTTTTCTTTTATGATTTGATATTTTACAGTTCAGCTTTGAATGATGTATTTTAAGTCCAGAAATAGCCCCCAGAATAAATATTCTTGGGTTTAATTTTGTTGTGTCTGTCTTCAGGAGGAATAGGCAGAAGTTAGATTCAGGGGGTGCCAGGCTGGTAATTTGGCTCAAAGTGCATGGGGAGAATAATCTCTCTCCTAAAATGAAGCACAAGGATAAGTAATAACTTTTTATGCATGATAAGCATCAAAAATATGAACCTGCTGGTCTTTGCTTTTCATTTTTCTTTACCTCTGTCTTTCAGTGAGAACCTCCTGCAGTGTGCACACGATGTGATCAATAACTCAATAACTTTTTTCATGCAGTAATTATCTCCATGTGATATCTGAACACTGTTTTTCTTTATTACTCCGAAGATGCAGGAGATATTTATATAACCAGCTGATCCCATTTTGGATAAAGGTGCTTTGTGACAGCAGGAAGAATAGTTTATTTTAAATAGCCGTTTTAAATAAATGCTCTATGAAAAGCTTTTCCAGTTAATTTTCACTTAGCATGAGAAGGTGATTACCAAACGATTTAGAACTTGTACTTTGAATATTTAACAGTATGATAGTCATTCTTTCTAACTTCTAATAATCACAATTTAAATTAAAATATCGAACTTTTTTTTCAGATTTCATACATTCCTATTCGAACTTTTTTTTTTTAATGAGGAATTCTTAATCTCAGGAAACAAACTGAGGGTTGCTGGAGTGGTGGGGGTTGGGAGGGATGGGGTGGCTGGGTGATATTCGAACTATTTTTAAAAAATATTGAACTACTTAACATACCTATAATTTTTTCCTGGTTCCTCTAACTCACTTCAGATATTTACAGAGGGGTGAGCTAAACACATTAAGTTCTACTATCTCTGCTTGTCTCACGGAGATTTTCATTATAGGCAGAGATCCTGCAAGAGTCCCGGATGATGATCCCAGATTGCCAGCGCAGGTTGGAAGCAGCGTATACCGATCTTCTGCAGTTATTAGTAAGTATATTCTTCTCTGTGTTCTGTTTAAATGTTCTTTCAGTCTAATACATGGAAGGCCAAAATCTTAAGTATTCAATGCTGTAAACTAGTTAGGGACATATTTTGTTCACTTGCCCTGTGTATCAGTATATTTTAAAATAATTAATAGAGATTAAATTGTGTTTTAATTAACCTCCAGTAGAAGTACTATAACCAGCATGTTTATTCTGTTTATTTAAACTTAGTTAATTAAATATATTTGAGTTATTATGGTAGATATTCAGAGCCCGGACATTGTCCAGCAGTATCTTGAAATATTTAGTATTTATACAGAAAGATCTTTTTTTGGCACATTAAAGATAAGTAGACTATTTAAAATTTTAAAAGATCCAAATGTTTCAAATGAATTTGGGCCCTTATGAAAAGGATCCGGAATTCTTTTAGAGTCAAACTTTACTCAGTTTGAGAGGGAAAAACACCTTGTAATATAGGCAGTCCTTTCATATTAACTTGGAGCTGGATCACACTGTTAACTGTACTTGCTAATAAAATGCCTTGTGATACAGTGGCAGAATCATTTTATAAAAGATTCTAAAAACAATTAAGTCCCCTTATTTCTTTCTTAATGGAGATAACTGCATAATACTATATTCAAGCCAGTTGTTTTTGCTGTTTGATGGTAATTTGATGGATTCCAACATTTCCTTTACTAATCTCATTTTATGTTTCTGTTTCTTGAGCTAATATTAACTAGCTACTAGCTGTCTCATGATTCATAGTTGTGCCTTCTATAACAAAAATCTTGTGAGGCTTTCTCAGGATGATTATATGTATTCTTTGAAAAAGAATGACATTTGTTTTCCCACCAAAATAATATTAGGACTGTATCTGTAAGAAAAAACAAATAGAGATATGTTCACATTTTACTTTAATTTTGACACAGAACTCCATATTTAGATATAGGAACCTTTTAAAGTCAGGATAACTCTCCTTAACAGCCAAAAATAAAGCTGTGGTTTTGAAATAAAAGATAGAAATAATTACTATATTAAAATACTGAGACAGAGCACCATTTTTATTTACTGACAGCTTAAACGCTTTTTTCTCTCATGAATCTAGTAGCTGAAAAGGTAATAGAAATTGCTTGAAAAAAGTAATACTGTCTTTGGATGATATATTTGTGTGTATGGATGTATTCAACAATATTTCTACCCTCAAAGAGCTTACACTTAGTAACAGAGAACAGAGACATGTTTAGGTAGAAATTTTGCCTATAATCTGAGGTAAGCAAATTCTCACTCCTTTTGCTTTAAATTTTCGTGTTAAAGAAACAAACATACTTTATTCCCTCTGCTCTGTAACAGTATATCTCCAGCTTTTATTGACCTGACACGAATAACTGATCATAGCTTTATTATTTAAGTAAAGATCAAACAAAAGTTCATATGCAGAATAACTTAGATGATATTATTTCATTTATCTCTTAGCATAGTAGTATATTAGTAAGAGCTTTATGTATAAAGTATCAAGGAAAAACTCAGCCTTTAAATATAAAAAAATAAAAGATGTTAGCATTTTGTTTCCTTGTAGTATGATACATAATAATAAGCAGACAGTTCAGTTTTCTAATTCAGAGATTATACTTACCTCTGGTGTGATACCACTAGCCTTTTTTGTCATTGTGGGTAGTTGTAGGATCATTGTTGTCTGAATGTTATATATGTAACATTTTAGTAAAGCATCATTTTTAATTTTTAGTCCATTAATAATAGTCCTTTTTGTATGGTGACATGTTGACAAAATGAGAATAAATTTTTTTTCATTTTTCTGAGGTTTTAATTTAGTGACTTAATGCTAATAGCTTTAGATAACCCTGTTTTTCACTTATTCCATGAGAATGTTATACAGTGAAACAACAAAACCTGTTATTTCTTCTCTTACCTATAAGGAAAGAACAAAACTGTGTGAAATTATACACTGTTTAGATGAGGTTTAGAATCCTTTTTAATTTTTTGAGCTCTTTATATTGATGGTTTGTAATATTTGAGTAAATAACAGCACTGAAGTTTGAGAAGGATAAATCTAATTTTTATTATATTTCATTTCAGGAGAGTGAAAAAGACTTGGAAGAAACTGAGGAATATAAGGAAGCACGTTTAGTATTGGATTCAGTAAAGTTAGAAGCCTGAAGTTTTTCTGTACAGGGTGTTTTTTGCATTAAATCTTGGCATCCATTCCACAATTCATTATTTTTGACCACTGCTGTATGTTCAACTAGTATGAGAATGCGATTCTTTTTATGCAGTTGCATATACTTTTCTTTGCCTCATTTAATGTGTCAAATAAATAAGTTCATCTAATAAGATTGTTTATTTCATACTTTATAAAATATTTTTAATTAACCTTACCATTAAATCATAGACATTTTTGATAATTAAAATCTGTTAGGTTCTCTTTGAAGTCTAGGTATTTTGCTTTATAAGTCTGGATTGAGTTAAAAATAGGATACCTTTTATTTTTAGATAAAAATCCAAATTTTGAATAGTTTATTCTGAATAGGGTACAACTCCCTCAAAAGAAAGGAAGAACTTCTCTGTGAATAAGGCCTCACATATTTATCCCTTCACAGTGAAAGTCTAACATTTCCATTACTGTTAACTAATGGAAACATTTAAATCTTTTTCCAGAAAGATAGATTTATACAAAAAACATCAAGGATTTAGATCTTCAAATAAGATTCTTATGAACAAAGAATTGAAATGTATTTTAAAGGAATAATAATGGTGTACTGGGAAGTGTTTAACAGATCTTCAAAATGGAAAGGGAGCATCTTACTTCTGTGGTATAAATACTCCTGCTGTGACTAATTTCAAGCTACTAACATGACATCACTGAGCCCAAGGTTGGGAAGATATGAGCCAGCTCCAGCATATACTGTCCATAGCCAGACCTGGATAATCTTGATTGATTGGAAAAGATTATCATTTTACCACAAAGTATTTTTCCAGTACAGTTGTAAACCAATTAATTACCTAAATCATTTGAGCTTATTTTCTTAAAAATACATGACAGCTCGTTTAGTTTTCTTCTCTTTCTTGAAAATGTGTATAAGCCTTGTATCATCAGCCTACCATGAGCAGTGATCTAATGAACTAAAATACTAATAATAGCATTTAAACTTTAAAACTCATAATTGAAAAAATAACAAAATCTGAATTTTTGCTGCTATGAGATACATACTCGTAGGGTAATTCATCTGATTTTGGAAGTCGCTAATGATCACTAGAAACCATAACATTTATTGAATCTGTCAAAAAGAGCAGAGAAGAGAAAAATAATACTATTCTTTCCTGCTGTTATTTCTAAAGGATACTCTGTTGTTTTAAAGCACAGAATCCATCATTTTTAAAATCTTTATACATGCAGAAAATTACTTCATCATAGCCTAACATACACCAGAAGCACTTCTAAGGTGAAATGTCATCATCTTAAAACATATTACATGCCTTTTTTAAAGTATATGAGGTGGGGGGGGGCGGAGTGAGAAAATAAGACCATAATTACAATGTAAAACTTTTACTAAGGCTTGCTTAATTAGAGATTTGAGTAGCAGGAGAATTAAAACTCTATAGATTATTTTGTGGTTGGTATTAAGTACCAGAATAGGTTGGCTTCTTGGGGTGGGAGTGGCATATTTAGTTTTCCAAGTAAGATACCATTTAAAGAAAGTATTTTACCATTTTTTTAATGTAAAAAATCTCATTTCAGCCTTCTGCCAAATACATAAATATCATATATATTCAAAGCAAAAAATATTGGTCCCTCCAGAAAAAATTCTGAAAGGGAATTTTTATAGCCAGGACCCAAATCTTGGTTGCTAAAAAAAAATTATTTTCTTGCCAAAAAGCCTAGGAAAGAAAAAATTAACAAGGTAGATGAAAATAAATGTACCTTCAGAGAATTGCTATCTCAATTTTAGATTTCATACTGGATATCTCTCCAGACATTGATGAGAAGCAGCAAGAACCTTCACAGGCTTATTCCTGGAAGTTTTTGACATATTCCACTTCTGTTTTCATGGCCAGCAAGAGGCACAGGAAGTTAAGAACAGTTGTAATTCATTCAGTGTTAGCTTGTTTTTAAGCTTTTAGTTAAAACCTTACATCTGTAGGATAATAAGTAGAATTTTCCAAAAGTAACGTTGCCTTTTTCCCTCTCCAGTATCTGACCCCCAACCAACATGTAGCAGTTGCTCAGTAAATATTTGTAGAATAAGTGAAAAGCAAGAGGTAAAAACCTCTGGAGTCAGAGAAAGAATGCTGTGAAGGATACCATCACATCACAAACACACTTAATAATATTTTTACTGCAAACCTCAATAAGAAACATGTTTTCCATTGTGACCCAGTACCTACTTTTGGAGGTCTCTGTATACATAAAACAGTAAGTATCTTTAATATGTACAATTCTCAGTTGTTTTTTATTCTGTTTTTTTTAACAATGATTATGACCACCTGCTATTGGATTGTGAATAACACTACCCTAATACAATTATATAAAGTGCTTCTACTTAAAAGAATCGTCTCTTTGTGTCTCTCTCTATTTATGATAAGCAGTAATTGTTTATCCTATATATAAATAAGTAATAGTTTATAATACATATAAACTTGGGTCTCAGAGCAGTTGTCTCTGAATGTGTGCAGTTATACACGTAGCAGGTATAAAGTGTCATTGTAACATGTAATCATTTAATATTTGTTTGTTAGGTGCCCTTAGTCCTTGCACAGACTAATAATGGCTTTCATCGAGTAAACAGGCAAAACAAAGACAAGTGACAGAATCAAGCTGTAAACCTAACTTTTCTGTATTTTTCTGCATAGCAAAGGGCACATAATTTCTAAGGAAGTAAGAATGTGCATAGGATAAAGAAGTAGAAACATAACCTGTGGAATGAATTAAAGTAACCAAATCCAATGAATGTCATTGAGAGCATTTCCAAGTTCTAGCATTTTCCCTTGGACATTCTTGGCTAGTGAAGATTCAGTCCTAGTAAATGAAAGTACTCCACCAAAGTCCTGGACAGGAGCTTTGTGGCTGGGCTTCTGAGACATTTACATTTTGGGTGAGTGTTAACATTTCAAGAACGAGGCTGTCCTGTACCATAAGTTATGTAAACAGTTCCTTGGGAAGGAATGGAACTTGTATCAAGTTTAAAAAAAGTGCTAAAAGTGCACTTATGAGAAATGAAAGCTAGTTAAAACAATATATTTTAACGTTCATTTAACATTTCTTGATTTTCTGGTCAGAAACATTCAAAGCCCAATATTTAAAAGTCGTCTCTATGCCTACACCTGTGCACTGAATCACCTCCAAATTGAGCAGTCAAACCTGGTTAATCTAAATTACTTTGCAAACTTCATTACATTACTTGGCTTTTTAAAAATCCTATCAAATTTAATAAGGACATATCCTACAGCTGGTTATCACTTAAATCTTACTATTTGGTCATTTAGATAAACCAAGGGCAGATTAATCCTTTCTCTGCAAGTTAGGGCCTTTAAATGTCAGTGTAAACTTGACATGTATATGAGCAAGAGCTGTAGAGCATTTGGCATTAAAGGGTTAATCAGATCATTTAGTCCTTGAGACTCTTTTGAGTGCTTTTAGCTGGAAAGAAATTGAATGGTTGAGAAATGGTGCACTATGAAACAAGTTATAAGTATTAGTGTACTTGAAATTTTGAAGAGTGCTTCATAAAAATCTATATTGCACTCCACTGTCCATCTTACTGCTCTTATAATATGAGAGGCCTTTGTTCATGTATTGGACTGTTGCGCTGAAGGTATAATTAATTTACAAGACAGTAGATCAAAACTTTATATTTTGTTTCTTGCTTTGTGTTGACTGCTGGATAGTTGACAAGGTTCTTTTAAAGTCTTGGGAATATATGTCATAAGAGGTTAATATTTTTAATACACAAAGAGCCCTTTCAAATTAATAAAAAATCCCTACTATGAGAAATAAAGGATAGAAACACAAGTCATAAAAGAAGAAATACAAATGGATAGGTTTTTCAAAAATGTTTCACTTCAGTAATAATCAAATTCCGATCTTAAAAATAATGAATCAAATTTTTAAAAAATGAATACCTGTTGGCTTGATGTGATAAAATATTGGCCAATGAGACTAGATAAAAGGATGAAATGAGAAAGAGTGAAAAAGATGCATCATTCTCACTGTATGCAGTTGATAAGATATGTACCAGGTAAATGCAAGAGTCACCTGTAAGATAACTAGAAAGAATGAGGTAATTAAAGTGGACAGCTGCAAAATTAATATATAGAATTGTTATGGATTGAATTATGTCTCCCCAAAAGGTATGTTGAAATCCTAACCCCCAGTACTCAGGATGTGACCTTATTTAGAAATAGGGTCCTCACTGATGTAATTAGTTAAGGTGAGGTCATACTAGAATAAGGTAGGCCCTTAATCTATGACTGGTGTCCTAAAACAGTGTGAAGACACAGAGAGAGATTGGAATGAATTATGCAAGCCAAGAAACCCAAAGTGACACTAGAAGCTACAAGACAGGCATGAAACAGATTTTCTTAGATCCGATTTCAGACTTAAAGCTTCCAGAACTGTGAGACAATAAATTTCTGTTGTTTTAAGTCACCCAGATTGTGACACTTTGTTACAGCAGTCCTAAAAGACTAATACACAGAACCCCAGCTTTTCTATATGCCAGCAATAACCAAATATAATGGAAAAATAAATCCCTGAGTCATAGAAGACAACATTTTAAAAAATGACTTGTATATATAATGGAAAGTTAGTGTCAAAACATGGTTTATTTTTATGTCAATTTGTAAAATCAATGAAATAAACTACAACAGGGTTGGATGGAGGAGAATCTTAGGAAATGACTATAAAATCCAATTAAACTGGGGTGGGGATATGAAAAAGAATAGTAATGAGGGAAAATTGGTTTTGCTCACTATTAAAACTTTGTCAAGTTGCAGTAATTAAATGTATGGTAAAAGAATAGAAGACCAAAGAGAATAGAACTCAGGAGTGAACTCAAATATATACTTATGGGAATTTAGTATATGATAAAGGATATTTTAGACCCTTGGGTGAAAGAGATTATTCAATAAATCATATTGGGATAACTGGCTAATCATTGGGGGGGGATAAAGCTGGATCTCTTTCACCTCTCACACCAAAATAAATTTTAACTGAGTCAAAGATATCAATATAAAAAAAAAAAACATTGAAAGGTAGAAGAAAACTGGTGAAACTAATAGATAAATGAATTTTAAATTGATAATACGCAGTGAGTGTATAGGGAAATAGAAACAAT